GCCCTTGTTTCTAATAGCTTCTTGTTACTACTAGTAAGGCACTTGTTACTAGAAGCGATGCACTTGTTTCTAGTAGCGGACGTGGTGCACGAGAACGGGGAAGAGTTCAGATTCAGAGGTCACTACTTTCATTTACTCTCCGAACATGGGTTGACCAAAAACGGTCACCCCAAGGTTTGAATACATTTTGAGTGGGGATCTGCTAGACCCCATCTACTTGGTGGTAAACACCACCGTCACCGCCTGGGAGGTCAACCTACCCTGGTTTGCTGGTTTTGAATGGACAGACTGACTGGTCGAATTGGCTCAGTAAGACCCATGGGAGCGCAGAGTGCCCTGACATGTGTGCTTCCAGTGCTAAAGACATCAAAAGCCGGTGACAATATCTTTGATCATGGATATGAATGGATCATAATGAATCAACGTTGACTTGTCGGATTCTGATCGCTTCCTTCTTGGTTTCCGTCAGCTCCTCCAGGAGCTCCCGCGGAGCTGCTGACCGCGCTGGGACGACACTTGGAGCCTGGGATGACAAGGGTGGTCCAAACAGTCACAGAAAGGGATCGCTGGATCGCTGGGTTTCAGTTTCATGCTATATTTTTCCACCTTGACTTGGGATGATTGATCCCGGAATATATGTTTCCAAGCGGGTTGAAACCATCAAGCAGATCGGAATCCGGAATCCTTTGCGCAGTGGTTAGGGGTCGTTCGGACACGATGGAATAGCTCCCTATTGCAGGTGCCTTGAACGTGCATATACACATGTCGGTGGGGTTCCAAGCTGCGATAGCAGATGGCACCCAAGGGTGCCGGAAAGCATCGGAAGGAACATCTCAACAATATAGCATCGACAGTCGAGTCGAGGACGTGCAGCAAACGTCATCCCCAAAACAATCAAAAACCATGAATTCATCCGATGGACCTGATGAGTTGGGAAAGCTTTTTTGCAGCATATCTCAAACTATTCCTCAAGCACGATGCAAGCCCTTAGCTTTGCCCCAGCCTGCATGTCATTCCGATATCACTGCAGAGTGCAGATATGTGCAGATGCCTCATCCGCTGAGAATGGGGGATGACGACTTGGTTTGCCCTAAGAGCTGTGCAACATCTAAGAATCCCGAGGGATGAAGCAACATCACAGTTGACGAAAGAAAGCACACTGATAGGTTGTGTGGGACTGTGAGGGTGTACTTGAAGAAACCATGAGCTTTGAGATCAGGTGGCGCTGCCTTGTGACGTTCGCGTCGGCAGGCTGGGACGGGATTGTTCGAGTGGAACAAGGCACAAGAGGTTACTTAAGTCGAGCATCATAGCAATAAAAAGGCAATTGTCGGAAAAGATGTCGAAATAGATTTGGGGTATTGTCCAACATCGCTAAAAACCGCTGTCAGTGGGTATTGGTAGGCAAAGGTCGATCAAAGTATGGGCAATTGCTCTCTTTAACCGTCATTGTTTGTCATAGGGTGCCATAGGGTTTGAGAGACATATTCGAAGGGAGGTTAGGACTTAAGCCTTTGGGCCGCATATCCAATACAAGTTGCTGGAACCACGGTGGAACCACCGCAAGAATCAGAAAAAAGAAAAACATGAAAAAAGCAAGACCCAGACAGCTTCACTCATGTACCTTACACCACTCGCCTTGTCAAGGACCAATGGCCCTTGGGTGGGGTAGAGGGTTTTTCGAGATGAAGATTTCACGCCGGTCCCAGGCGTTTAGGCCATCACCATTTCACGAAAGGTAGCCCTTTAGGGGATACCTTGAGTTTGTCTTGCGAAGCAAGTGTTGGGACGTCCGGGTCTAATAATTGATCGCTCAATTCAGACCCCCCCCCACCCCCC